TCGCAAAAATGGTATCAGACATTTTTGATTTATCTCGCTCCTGTCTACCTTCTCACGAGCGATGATGACAGTGTTACGGGACATTCTATATAACCATTGTATGATTATATAATTATGCGAATATGTTGTATATACAACATATTATTATAAAATTAATATAAAATATAAAATTAAATACAACTATTATTATAAAATTATGTAATTAATACAATTTTATAATACATCTGCTACGGAGACAGAAAATCGCATATTTCAATTACGCTTATTATTAAGACACAACCAACAAAAAGGGATAATAAAAGTCGATTAAAACAAAGCCGAAAGTTTGGTTTAAACGTTAATTACTGACTTGTAGTATGCATATTTATAAAAAAATGCTATTCTTTAAATTAATTGTTGATAAATTTTAGATATACATGCAAAGTAACTAATACTGTGGCACCTCTAGTTTTCACTACAATATTTACGACAGCTATGGCAATCATTTTCGGAAGTTTAAATATGGTTACTGTAAGTAACATATTAAGTATTTTATCTTATATGAATATATATCGTGACGTGTTCTCCCAAGAGATTACACTCTGGGATCTACTTGGATCCTCTTTCATTCGGTAGAACTCAGAATTATTTCGTCGGATTTTTTTATACATTATATGTATATATGCTTGCGAGCATACACATATGTTTTGTGTATGTTTTAATGTGAACATAAAAAATTAATGTTACATCAAAATTGAACAAAAGTAATATATAAATTTGATAAATAGGAACAACCAATAACAATCAAGATCCTGTATACCATTGTAGCATTCAGTGCCAGTTTGGAACTTTTTATGTGTGCTTTACCAGCTGATAATTTAATGCATACGGTAATAGGTACTTAATTATAATTTTTAATGCATGCTATATAGTTACATTACATATTATTTTTCTTCATAGAGTACAAATATTTGTATGGGAGCATATGACTCACAATGGTTTCAAGGAAATATAAGCATGCAGAAGAAGATCATCCAAATTATTTTCAGATCACAGGAACCCATAGTTATTCGCATCAATGCTATTCTTCCAGCTTTATCATTACGTTACTATGCAGGGGTAAGAATAATGTCCTATATGTTTTTTATGTAGCGATCGTATTTAGTAATAGCCGGAGAGGAGATACACTTATATGTATATATTTCTGTTTTGAAACGTTATGTTCAAAGAATCCTAGAAGGGATTCTTTTATTTAAAAACAGATTCAAGTATAATAAAAATACAAACAATTATTTTACAATAAAATATATGTACTGTATGTATCAAGGCGCATATTACAAGTTAAACATATTGTGAATATTTCTAAAATAAGTCAATAGGTAGTGTCATTATGTCTTTTTTAGTCAAGAAGTTTTGTTCTATTAGCAAAGAATAATAGACTTACGCAATTTTACAGAAAAAGAAGTGCACAGAATATAGAGTTGATATAATTAAAGATGTCACATGTTAAAAAATTTATGATAATTATAACATTTTAATGTAATAATCAATTTTATTATTTAATTTATACGTTAATAATTGAATTCAATTATATCGAAAATAAAATTTATAATTTTATTTGATTTTATTATATATTATTATATATTATATATTATTGCATTTTAATAAAAAAAGTATCGAAATATCTAATTATATGTATTTGCATATGGATATAATATAACATATTTTTCATTGCAGTTTTTATATACATCTTGTTCTTATTTCACTGCTGTACGTATGATGGTCAACGAAAATATTAAGAATTAAATCAACAAAAGAAAATTGTTGTAATATAATATAGTATAGTATTAATTTAGATTGCATCTTATATTCTGTATTTATTAAATAATATAAAATATTCATATTATTGCTATAAGTATATGTTTGAAATCAATTTGAAATGTCACTTAACATTTGTGTGCTATATGAATAAAATGTATTTATTATTTCTGAAAAAACGAAAGGCTTACATTAATAAATGTCTGAAACATATTCCTTACGTTCTCCGAAGCGTCCTATATGGAAATCATTATTTAATTCAGAATAGAAAGTCAATCATTTTTTAAAGGTATCTTTAAGAAGTCTGAAATTACTAATCCTGAAATTATAATGTTACTATACAAATATGATACAAATTATAATAATTTAATTAATACATTATCTTAAATGCTTTAAGACCAATAAGACTGAAAAGGGCAAAAATTTGCTGATCCTGATTAGTCAATTATATATTTCATTTGAATAGGATTTTTAATAATGAGTGTTTTCCATTTAATGATACACACAACAAAGCCGATACAAACATTGTTCTTTCTTAGTAGTTATTTAATGAATAACTAGGAATAAAGGGACAAATTGATGCTTGTGTCGGCTTGTGTCACTAAATGGAAAGCACCCAGTGTTGTTCGGTAGATGCATTTCGTTGACACTCTAGTGCGTATTGCGAAAAGGCGCATGCGCAGTAAAGCATCTCACAACCTCATCTAACAACACTGCCGCCCGGTAAGAATTCCTAAAAAAAACTTTGAGATAATGTGATGACAATTATGAGTGAAAGTGGTTAGTTTGGATCAAAAATTATACATTTGTAGTACTATGTCAAAAGCCAAAGTTTCAGCAGAATGGAGAAAGAGGGTAAAGTCGGAATACATGCGATTACGGCAAATGAAACGATACAAACGAGCGGACGAAGTAAAAATTGCATGGAACCAAAATCGTAAGGTTATGACAGGCAAGTGTGTTTTCTGCGAAAAATTATACTTTCTAGCTCTGTACTATATTACGCTTTGCATACTGAAAATGGAATAAATATGTAATTAGATATTAAAGAAAAAAAAGAAAATATTAAATACAAAATATATTTTTTGTATTTTTTTAATATTCTTTAAATATATTTTTTATTTTAATTAGTGTTAATTCTTCCAGAAAATATCTTATAGTTATCTAAAGACTTTTATTATTAATAAAAATAATAAATAGTAGATATTTTACTTTTATTATTGATTTATTTTAAATTTTAGATATATTTTATTTCACAAATTAAATTTGATTTTTATTCTTTTCTACTATTTTATATTAAATTTTTAGTTGCTAAATTTTGACAATTACAATAATAAAAATGACAATAGCAGTTTACTAGCATTAGCACACAATCATATTTAGGATTATTTATTGAATAGAGCTTCTTGTTGGTGAACAAAAGCGTTGGACAGATGGAAAAGCAATGTGGTTGGCAATGCAAGACATTCCGCCACATCTTTCTTGCATGAAAAAAGCTGAAATTACCAGCCCTGATGGTGATGTACAAAGTTGTCCTGTAAAAATAATTAATGCAGTAACTCCTATACCAACTATGTATACATGGGCTCCCATTCAGCAGAATTTTATGGTTGAAGATGAAACTGTTTTGCATAACATTCCTTATATGGGTGATGAAATTTTGGATCAAGATGGTACTTTTATCGAGGAACTTATAAAAAATTATGATGGAAAGGTACAGAGATAGCTAAAACTATAGAGATGGCTAAAAGCATTAATAATCTTGTAATAGATTTTATTGATAAAATCTTAACTTTGCTGCTGCAGGTCCATGGTGATAGAGAATCTGGTTTTATGGATGATTCTATTTTTGTTGATTTAGTGAATGCTCTAGCAAATTATGAAAAAGAAGATAAAGAGAGAGAACAGATAAAAAAAGGAAAGGAGAAAGATAATCAAAAAGATAATGAGAAAAAAGACATTGATATAAAGTCTGAAATCAGGATAGAAAAAAATGACAGTGGAAAGACAGTAGCTGTTCCGTTTCCATCAATGCATATATTTAATGTAAAAAAATTAAATGTCATGATACATAATATAATTCTAGATTAAAATTATTTTACAATTATCGTTTATAGGCAATATCAAGTATGTTCCCCGATAAAGGAAGACCTGAAGAATTAAAAGAAAAATATATTGAATTGACAGAGAGATCTGATCCAAATGTTTTACCACCAGAATGCACGCCTAATATAGACGGTATAAATGCGAGAAGTGTACCCAGGGAACAAACAATGCATTCTTTTCATACTTTGTTCTGCAGAAGATGCTTCAAATACGACTGCTTTTTACACCGTGAGTGTATTGCAATAAAACAATCTTATTTATTAAGTTGTATTTTGTGAAGTATTAATTCTAAAAAAATAATTTTTAATAATATTTATTCCTTTATTAATTAATATAGTATTTTTAGAACTAGATGGAACACTAATCTAATATGTAAGAATACTTCACTGAAATACAACTTATTAAAGAGTTGTACAATATTTTAAGTGTTCTAAGTTGAAAGTTTATTAATTACAATAATTTATGATTCCTGATTTATCGTAGCAGCCAGGGGGACTTCGCCGCAAGGTAAAGAACAACATTGCATACAAACTAATGCATTATCGATCGGAAGCTTTTTTTTGTTTAGCACAGAGGCATCGTCAAGGGCTCATCCACAATCATATTTCATTCATCGTTCATCGCTGTCTACTAAATTTCTCTCCATTCAATTATGCCGAATCAGCCGACGAAAATATATTTGTAGTGAGTTTATTATGTTGCTTGTAGGTCTTCAAGTTTGCCATCCAGGTCCAAATTTGTTGAAGCGAAAAGGACCCGATTTGAAACCATTTTCGGAGCCATGTGGAGCAGAATGTTATATGCATTTGGTAAGCCATATGCTATATGATATATTTCGATATAATATCTATTATTCGATATAATATCTATTTTTTCAAAGTGTAAATTTGGTATCAACATTTTATAGGAAGGAATGAAAGAAAAGCTGGCGGCACAAGCAGCAGATACAAAAGAAGATGAAGGCGATGAGAAACGTGGTGGTCCTAGGAAAGTACGAAAACAAGCAAGCGTCGATTCTGGAAACGAAGCGAGCAGTGAAGATAGCAATGATAGTAATAAGTATGGTCAAGGAGGCAGTTGTCAAGGTTAATATATAATTTATGATCATCACTTAAAAAGAAATTACTTTATATATACATATTAAAATAATATTCTAAAATGTTTTATTATTTAAATTAGATTTTAAGCAAAACGTTAACAAAAATTGCAAGCCTGAGGAAATAGAGGATCAAGCTCAACCTGAAAATCAGACACCTTTTACATTGTTAGGAGTTGGTAAACGAATTAAGACAGAAAGTGAATTTTCATGGACAGGTTCAGAACAGAGCTTATTCCGAGCTCTTCATAAAGCCTTCCCTGGCAATCCATGCGCGTTAGCACAAATCATGTTAACAAAAACTTGTCAGGAAGTATATGAATTCGCTCAAAAAGAGGCTTCGGATATTCCCGCTATAGAAAATCTGAAAGATTTTACGCCACCGCGAAAAAAAAGAAAAACAATCGACTATGGTCCATGCATTGCAGAAAAATACAACTTAAGAAAGATTCTGGTACATTCATTAATCGATTGCAAAAACTTTAGGTTCAAGTAATATTATTTTTTAATTTTTAATTGTTTTCTTCTAATAGGTGCTAACCATGTGCACAATTTCGCACCTTGTGATCATCCGGGTCGTCAATGCGATAATTCATGTCCCTGCATACAAGCACAAAACTTTTGCGAAAAGTTCTGTCAGTGTAGCAGCGAATGCCAAAATCGGTTTCCTGGTTGCAGATGTAAGGCTCAATGCAATACAAAACAATGTCCATGCTATTTAGCTGTAAGGGAATGTGATCCGGATTTGTGTCAAACATGTGGTGCAGATCAATTCCATATTACCAAAATATCTTGCAAAAATGTCAGCGTACAACGTGGTCTTCGTAAGTTTCATAAATTTTAAATTATAAGTAATAAATTTTTATATGTTATTTTTATATATTATTTTTATATACTGTTAAAAACATAAAAAAATAAAAATAAAATTACTTATGTTTGTAGATAAACATCTCTTGATGGCACCATCTGATGTAGCAGGTTGGGGAATTTTTCTGAAAGAATCAGCGGCGAAGAATGAATTTATTTCTGAATACTGCGGTGAAATTATTAGTCAAGATGAAGCCGATAGAAGAGGAAAAGTATACGATAAATACATGTGCAGTTTTCTTTTTAATCTTAACAATGGTAAATACTATATATGAATAAATCTCGTATATAGCTGATTATAGAACAAGAAAAATTAAAGGATATCTTTTAGATTTCGTTGTTGATGCAACAAGAAAAGGAAATAAAATAAGATTCGCCAATCATTCCATAAATCCCAATTGTTATGCGAAAGTGATGATGGTAAACGGTGACCACAGAATAGGTATTTTTGCCAAGAGAGCGATTCAACCCGGTGAAGAATTATTTTTCGATTATAGGTATATTACTGTATACTCAATTTTTAATCATTGTAATTATATGACTAATTAAATTAATATAATTTTAGATATGGACCAACGGAACAACTTAAATTTGTCGGTATCGAGCGAGAAATGGAGTTTCTTTAAGAATTTATATTTTATGTTTAACAGAAACAAGTGACATTTTTGAAACAGAATAAATATAAAGTAAATACTTATCTAATTTTTAAAATTGTATAATGACTTATACTACCATATCATATAAATCATTATTAATATCAACATGTCTTATGAACATTAGTTTATTTCACCAAGATGAGGAAAAGCTTGATATATTTGTATGAATTAAACTGGCGAAACTTTACGAAACGGCATTGACAATGATTTATGATCCACTAATAATCTGCGAGTTATTATACAATGTTGAAAGAGATATTCATGAATGCCTGAAGAATATAATTAAATACTTATCTGACTTATTTATTAATTTAATGGGAAAGTGTTTTTTTATGTACTTTAGTCGATAAACATAGAATAAATCGTTTTATAATCGTATTATAGTATTAATACAAAACTTTTTGCATATATAAAAGAAAAATGAAATCCATTTCAACATTTGTCTCAGTTTTTTTTATTTTTGTTATATAAATTTTAAATAATTAAATATCGTGATCTAATATGTATGTGTGAAAAATTACTTGACAATATTACTGTAAAAGTGAGAAAGTAATAGTGAAATTATTAATACAAATATCTGTGATGTATGGATAATTTATAGATATAAATATAAATATTTATAAATATGAATAACCAGTTTGCACTGTTACACGCAAAAGTATTAATCAATTTCGTCTTTTAGCTATGACTAAACATTATTTGTTAAAAAATATTTCTTAAAAATAAACATTTTACGTATATTCTTTTTGTAATTAGTACCTATTTATATAATTTATAATTGTTCAAACAAATATATCTGTTATATAATTCAGAGATAAAATAGAAATATATCCATATGTATTCATGATAAAAATATGTATGTTTAAATTATTATTACAGTTTGAGTAAGCAGTCAATAATAAGAAACTTACAAGTAACAAGACCACAATTGACCACAATCAACGAAAATATACTTACATAAGTTTATAATTAACATACTTAATTCAAAAAAAAATATATTTGCATTTAATATTTAATAAATACGCAGAGAAAATCAAGAATAAAATATACATAGCGTATAATTTTAACGAAAAAAATTATTAAAAAATTCCAAAGTGTACTTCCGATGTTAATATTATATCGTATGCACAACTCATGTTATCTAATAGATATTTTATCTATCTATTCGAAAGAATAAAATTAAGTTTTTTTTTTCTTTTCACGGTAAGTTTAATCAAATGAGCAATTGCTAATTACGTCTTTCATTATCGTAAGTAACTGATGATACACAAATAATTTCGAGAAAATGCGGTTAAATTTTGCATTCACTAATTATATTTCGTATTTATTTATTTGTTATCGTATAAAATTACAAATTTTATACGACAAATATACATTTACACTATAATTTGTGTATATATATATGTGAATTCTATATATGTATAAAATTAAATTATATGTGTATGTGTAAATTATTGCAGAATTTTTATTAATTTTTTTCGGACTAACTAGTGTGACGATTCATATTTTTATTGCACATTTTATGTCGTATTAATTAATTAATTAATTAATTTTAAATTAATCTCATATTTTGCGTTTGAATAGAAACTGCATCGAAAATTGACAAACGCGCGGACAATTCAAAATTGTGTCTAGCCTCTCTCAATGATAATGTCTGGATTAAAGCATCAGAAACGAGCTTTTGCGCAGCTCGGAGTTACTGCGAAGAGAATGTAAGCGTCTCAGTGATCTCGTCCTCGTCGTGGGAATTCGGCCACCAGTTGCAAGCTTCACGGCTGCGAGAACGGTTGGGCGGGAGGTTTGTCGAAAGTCTCAGATTAAGAGGCCTAAAGGAAAATATCTTTCTTAAACATAATACATGTAAATCAAAATGAAATTTTGATTTAGTAAAGTACTTTCAATCTTCTATCAAAAAAATCAGTTCGTGATTGACTCATATTACACCAAAAGCTTAATTTTAGTGATATAACTCATACTCAAGTTGTACGATTATTTTTGCCGCCTCTTATTAAAACAAAAAGAAAAAGAAATGGATTAATAATAAAAAAATAATAATAATAATAATAATAATATGACATCCTTGAGCAGAATTGCGCACTTGACGAATTCAATGATGACGACAATCATGAAAATTCGCGCATTTAAAATTTAATTTAATCTAACACCGGGGAGGGTGAATATTTACGCGCGTATATCGCACATTCGTCTGCACGGGCCGCTTTAAATGTGCAAAGAGACGAGTATTGCGAGATCGAATCTACCTCTTGGGTGGTAAATTCGAGAGATTCGGAGAGTTTACGGAAACGATACTCAGCGGATCAGCGATGTTGCGAAGAAAGTAAAGTGCGCGAGAAAAGCGACGTCGTGCCGTTGATGATACACTCGACACGCAGAAGGAAGCCAATTTGGATTGCGGCCAAGTCTAAGAAAATCTCTGCAAACATGGAGGAAGAAGGTAATCTTTTTTGGATTAGAAGAAGATAGCTGGAAGATCCATGTCAAAATATGAAAAAAATATGAAGAAAATAATGGTACTCTTGATTGTAATTATTATTCACAATCTTGAAATCAAGATTGAAACTACTAAATGAATGTAGATGATGAATACTGCTAATAACACAATTGCAATATAATTGCATAAAGGGATAGAACCCGTATTATTAAAGTCATGTTGTTAACATTTTATAAATATGACTTTAATAAACATCAACCAATTCTCTGCGCGAAAAATTATATTTCAAAAAGAGGCTTGACAACGTTTGTCGACATTTTAAAATTGCGTGTATCTTTATTATCTTTTGAGATTGAAAATTGCATATTAAATATCATAACAAAGTAAATGTTTGATTAACACATTTTTTTGTAAATTTGTTTGTAACTTCATTTGTAGCTTAATTGATATTATTAAAATTATAGTTTACATCATGTCCATATTATTATATATTACTTGGATTTTTTATGTATAAAATTATTAAAATGATAAGTAAAATTATGTCATTCCATGTAAATCAGATCATGTATAAATGATACATATAATTATTTAACTACTGATATAAACTTTAATTTGAACTTAATTTAATATTTTAATGTGTAAAAATATGTGTGCATTATTGGAAAAGCTTTGGCGAATAAAGGTATAGGGAGAAGAAAAGTTCAGCAATAAAATATATTGCAGGCAACCAACGTTACTACAATAAATTCAAGTTTATTATATCTAAAAAAATTATTTTTATCAAATTCTTGTAAAATTATAATTTATTACAACATAGAGTTGTTGTCGAGAACAAGTTATCTAATACAATATGTCATATAATTTATATAAAATATTTATATAAAGTATTTTATTTAATAGTAACGATTTTTTACAATATAAAATTATGAAAAAGTGAAAAAATACTTTTATAATATTATATGACAATTTATGTAAAGAGCACAAAACCATTCTTGTTATTACAAATACAATTTGATAATATAAATGGAACGGTGCATTTAGCATGAAATGTGAGGAAATGACTTTATATGTAACATTACTTGCATGAAAAAATAGAAGTTTTTTTATAAAAATTATTTATTAGTAATAGAAAGTGTATTTAAATGATTTATGTATTATAAAAAATTACATGAAGATTTGTGGTTTTTAATTGATTGAATATGAATACTTAATGCATAAACTTAATCTTGTTCACTTAATATTTCAAATCCTTAAAAATATATATTTTTGTATCCTAATTAACTATAAATATCAAAGTGTTCGTAACATTAAGTGAAGGGTGAAAGGGTGAAAGTTTCCGAAATTTTTTAAAAAGTTATAGAGATATGTGAAGCATCAATAAATCACTTGTAATTAAACAATGGATTCTAGATACTTGATCGAATTTAATCTTCATTTTTATAGCAATTCTTTAGATTTGCCATATATTTAAATACAAAATTGGATATTTGAGTATAGATTGAGTTAAGAAATATTATACGTATAATATTAAATGACTTCATATATTTCATAACAGAAAGTAAATTTAGATATTTTTATAATAATGTTAAAATATAATTTTGATTTAATATTAAATTCTGCTAAGTGAAGATACAAAAATCGTAGATATTTTAATCTAATAAAAACAAATTCTTTCATAACATTTACAATGTATATTTATAGCGTGATATTAATGCATTATCATAAGAAATACTTTTACCAAAGATGTTCTTTGTCGTATATACTTCATAAAACTTTTCTCGTTTCAAAAACATTCTCGCGCATAATTTTATTCCTCCACTATTTCGCGTGTGAGACAGCACGTGAATACGCACAAATGTGTCTCCTCACGTTTTAAAAAAAATATTTTGTTTTTTTAAATATACTTATACAGGTTTCAGTATTTACTCATATAAACTAACAGAGAACAAATGGCAGAGAGAGAGAGAGAGAGAGCGGGAGGGAGAGAGAGAGAGAGAGAGAGA